TGGACTTGAGTACAATGTGCAGAAAGATGAATATTTTGACAGTATAGCTAGTTTCATATTTGACTAAGAAATTAAAGTACAGTGGATAAGAAATGAAACACTAGAAGATTCAGAATAGCATACTTATTTGTGAGTTCTATACAAAATATTCAGAAAAAATGCGTTATGCCAAAAAAACTCTGGCAAAATGGATAGTCTCAGGTAGAATTAATAAGCAAACAATAGTACTTCTAGCAACCGTACCTTCCCACCTAAAACATCTCGAGCTTCTAGTAAAACAGGCTTGTGGCCAGCATCTGCCAAATATTTTGCTGTTGATAAACCAGCTAATCCTATAGAGTATGAAAACATGATAATATCATCAAACATCAAGAAAAGAAATAACACATTTTTATAATTGGCATCATCTATTTCATTTCCAATAAGAATTTCAGTGAAGCTAAGCAAGAGAATTCCTAACCTGCACCAGCGATCACTACTTTTAACGGTTTAATAGGACGTGCRGAAGTACAAAAACTAGAAGATAAGTACGCTGCTTCGATGAAATTGACAGTATCATCAATCGGTGGTCTAGGGTAATCCAAGCAAACTACCTGTTCATGAAAAAAGATAACAATAACTAATTCCATTCAACAACTACATCAGAAACTGAATACTCTAGAATCTGAATGCGGACAAACCTTTAGTGGTAAAGTCCCCTCAGATGGTTTCCTACTAACATGTCTGCCAGATATTTTCAAGCCATCGCCCACAAACTCACTGCCCCAAAATGCTAAAGCATCGCTCTTCTTACAACCTAAAGGAGAACAGCATCTCGAGGTTGGTTTTGAGATACCCTTTTGCCACCTCAAGTTCAGAGCAGAGACAGATCCACATAGTGACATTTCACCAAACCCACTCCGCAAAATCAGAACTTAGCTCCAGTTCCTTCACTACACAAGCTCAGAAACAGAAGCAGACAACAACAACTACTCCTTCCACCAAATAAAGCATTCGCCAAAGACCCAGGAATTTAAAAAGAAAACCAAACTACTTCGGTGCATGAAAATCAAGAATTGCGCCCAGAAATCAGTTGCAGACCTCCTGAATTTCCTTTTTCCTCAGCGCAAGGCCTGAATATCAGACCAATTTCAACTCCAAGGACACTAGAAGCACCAATCAATCCACTTCTCTAGCCACCACGGTTCTAAATTACTCACAGACAAGAATATGATAACGAAAACAACAACACCCAAGTTAAGTCTGGGAATGTAGGAACGTGGGTATGTGAATTATCCAAAGAAAATGTTGAAATTAAAGAATTTCTATACCTGCCGAGAAATGGGTTGATTGAACACAGTGGAATTTGTAGGTGGCGGAGGTGGGCAGAGCACTTGCCAACACTTTCTGAGGGACGAATTGGCCAGCTTTCCATTTTTTGCCTCTTTATCCCCATTGTGATGAAAGGCTATTTGGTCGTTTCCCAACTATGTGGCTTTCGTCTGCCTTTAAGAATATTCTGGTCGGTTCTTTTATTTAATCAGAAGTTTACCTAAATTTGAATCAACTCTCATTCCATGTTGAGCAAAGTTTTAATCCACSTATTCTTAGTTTGAGATATATGTCAATTATTCCTGAATTATACTCGTTTTGGTAAAATATCGAAATCTTAAYTTTACGTAAATATTTATGAAAATATCAATATCTATAGATATTTCTAAAAAAGAGATAAAAATAAAAAATTCATAAAAACTATTTAAATTAACATATAATATTTCATCATTTTAAAATAAGTTAAAAATAATTGACATTAATATTATGTCTATATTAATGAGATTTTATTGATAGATTCATATTTTGTAGGTTTTTTTTTTTTTGCAATATTATGGAAATGTTGATTTATTCTTTAGGTTATATCCAACTCATGGATACATGAAAATGTCAATGAAAATGTCGACATATAGATTAATAGCTAATCTCCAATTATTACAATTGTTAAACTCGAAAAAAGAAAAATAAATCACAAACGCARGTTGGAAGATTGAATTTGCAACCTCTTAAAAGTAAGAAAATATATCTTCACCTTCCGATCATTCCTGTGTTGACAATCCACCATGTCGAGCCATCGTAAAGTTTGAATTCACTCCCTCTCAAATTATCCCAGTTCCTCTGAACTAATAAGCCATGTTGGATGGTTAATATATTCGTTAATGCGAGGAATGAGTTTGGATTACTTTTTTAAAAAGTGTTTTAAGTATTTGAGAGACACTAATTAAGTGCTTCTCATCAAAGTTAAAATACTTGCATTTTTAGAAATTATTTTTTATTATCCAACCACATATCCGCGCGTTCAGTATGCTAAAAAAACTTCCTACCACGAAAAGTCATCCCAGATTCACCCGCCCTAATAAACTAATTATAACTTAATTAGTTTTTCTTTTTTTTTTTCCTTTTTCAACAACTTAATTAATTACTACTCTCTGTCAAAAAAAAATTATAATTAGTACTAAAAAAACAAAAAAAAATGAAAATACAACTTAATTAGTTTGTATTTATAAAGAGTAGAAAAAGACATGTGAGATGCACTTGAAATTTATAGTTTTATTTTAAACTATAAAAAATATTAAAAAATTATAATTTAGTTAATTTTTAAAGGTTAAAAAATATATTTGGTCCCTGTACTTTCACTGAGTAACAATTTAGTTCATGTACTTTTCCTAAAATAACAATTTAGTCTCTGAATTTTAACTTGTAACGATTTAATTCCCATAGTTTAAAATTTGTAACAATTTAGTTTCTATCGTACAAAATTTTATTAAAATTAAGTATCGTATGATAATATAATAATTTGATATTTCTAATTCATAAAATATTTAGTCTCTCTTTAGTTTATCAATATATACATACAAAAAACTTAACAAAAAAATTTCATGAAGAGGACTAAATTGTTACCAACYTCAAATTACAAGAACTAAATTGTTACATATTAAAGTTCAAGGACTAAATTCTTATCCATTTGAAAGTACATGGACTAAATCATTACAAACTAAAGTTTAGGGATTAAATTATTACTTTAGTGAAAATACWGAGACTACAAGTGTTTTTTAACCTATAAGTCATTRGTTTTAATTTACTAACTTTTTTTTTTATCTTATTTACATTATCTTTTTAAAAATTAAATTAATTTTACATTGTGTGAAGAAACATTTTCATATAAAATTTAATCCAACACATATTATATTATATGAATATTAAACTATTTTTTTAGTACAAATGTTAAACTATTTACACTATATTTCTTTTGTGAATTATTTTATATACAATGTTATGTCTAATTTCATATTCTTGTTTGTTGCATTTTAAACATATATGAGAATGTACCTTAAACGTGTTAAAAAAAGGGATGACACCCATCTATTATAATATATTTTATATTATAATTATAATTTACAGTCCATTATAAATAAATTAACTATAAAATATATTGTTGAAATAATATAATATAGTACCAGTGTTTTCACTTAAATTTTTACCTCCTACATCATATACCTACCTTATTTAATTTGCCGACTATGATGGGATTGAAAAAGAAAAAATTATAATATATAAATCACAATTTCAAATTTACAGAATTCTTATATTCTTCMTTCTTAGTGGAAAAAAATAAAAAAAACAAATAAATAATAAAAAAACAGTAGAAATGAGTTGCTACAACACTGGCCAACACTGCACACGATGGCTTAGGCGAGGCGACCTTGTCAATTGAGATTCCAATCCCACGCAATTTTCACTTATTTATAGAATTTATCATATGAATGAGGGTTTGTCTTTGTTGAGGTTCATCGATGATTTTGCGAAAGCTGAAATGGTAGCAAAGTGAGTGGAGCAATTGCAACATATAATCTTTGCTAAAAGGATTGTCACATATTAACCTTCATCGAAATTGAGAGAACACCTTGAGAAGATTGTAGCAGAACATAGATCGGTAATTACGWCTGACTCTTATTGAATTGTTGGATRAGGGGCTTTCCATTAGATGAACTCTGCAATCACCGATCCATCTTAAATTTAGAAGCTTCAAGAATTATATAGAAAGGAGAAAGAGAGATAGATAAAACTTTTCAAGTTCCATAATTAATACTTAGATGACGGCTTTGGAGAGAATGAAAGGAAGAAAATACACTTCAAATTCAATACGTAAAGACCTAATTAAATAGATGATAAAACTTTTCATATTCTAACATTTTAAGTGCAAAATTAAGTGAAATAGAATTAAAAAAAAAAAAAAAGAAGAAGAGAAGAGATAAAGAATTATTTGGATCGATTAATTTAAGTAAGAAATTTGGATAAGTGGAGAAAGAATTAATCCAGAGTGAACGAGAAATAAATGTAATGAGAGATTTAAGAGAKAGTTTTTTTTTATTGAGAGAAAATTAATTTGACAAAAGAATGGAACCTAGAAAATTGCAGATAAAAACCCTTCCACCTCAGGAGGACCCCTAACTGTCAATTTCAAAAACCCCAGATCAAATAGCACAATCCCAAGGGAAGATTAGACGTGGATTACCTTGATGATCGAAGACCAAGAGGTAAGGAGAACTGGTTCCCTACTCAAGGTTGAAAACTCTACAAGAAGGTCGATCAAACCTAGCTTGAATGTTCCGTGTTTGCAACCTAGATCAAGAATTGCAAAGTTGATGAACCCTTAGTCATCACGATAAAACACTCCAAATTCATTCTGTGAAAATTGATCGTTCTGTTCACAAGATTAAATCCCTGATCTCAAAGGAAGTTAAAAAACTATAGTACCCCCAATTAAATGTGACATAGTTAAATTAAAAAAAAACACCTAAAAATTGATAAATTAAATGCCCACATCATTGTGCTAAAAATATAAAAGGCCTAAAAAAATGAGATAGATAACCATTTTAAAAAAAATAATAATAATAAAAAAAATAAATAATAACTTTGTAAAGTTTCGTCATCTTCTTCTCGTGTCTTCATTTGGCTTCATCTTCGTCTCATATATTCATTTGGCACCATGAATAAAGTTTTGTCCCATCTTTATCCTCTTGATGTCCATTAGTGGAGCTCACTRCTGCTTGGATGTGAGAATCAAATGCTAGCTGTAACTGTTTGGCCCTTGAACGAGTGATTGGTCCTGACGGCAAGGCTAATGCATCTTGGTTCATATCATCTTCTCCCCCTTTTGAAGGATTCGTCCTCGAATCAAAATCATCACCTACATCAAAAGGAGTCAAGTCAGACACATTAAAAGTAGCACTCACGCCATACTTACCTTGGAGGTCAATTTGATAGGCATTGTCATTGATTTGCTTCGACACTTGGAAAGGTCCATCTCCCCTTGGGTTTAACTTAGA